TGCCAGAACTCTTTCAGAACCGTCCCTTGTCCAGGAAGATCCGGTGCTGCACCCTCTTACATCCCACCCCGAACACTCGACTGGGGAGACAGGGCTAAGCCTCGCCTCCTGTGTCCTTGCCAGGTGGCTTCCCAATAAAGCCTTTGCTTTTCTCAAAAGCTGGTGGCATCGTATGTCTTCTGTGTGTGTCAGGCAGCGGGGATTCTGCCTGCTGTGCAGAAGAGGAACTTGGAACCCAGCTTAACCTCTGATAAAGAACTGTCTCAGGTCACACAGCCAGTAAGCAGCAGAACAAGGATTTGAACAGGTCTGACTTTGTCCACACTCTTAGCCACCAGGCCACACCCTGGCTACTGTGCTGAGATGAACTCAGGGCTGTGGATACATAGCGGGAGGCACGTGGGGTTTGGCAGAGGGAAGAGAGATTGAGGGAGACTCCCTGGAGGAGGAGACCACTGAGCTGGGACTCGCCATATAGGGAAACCCACTGAGGGGACAGTGACAGTCTCATTCCTGGAGAACTCAGATGAGTGGCCAAGCATGTTCAAGTGTATGAGAAGCTTCCATAATCAGGCATGGGGCTCAGCCCCACTCTGGGTTAGCCCCCTAACTCCCCTCAGTTTCAGTTCTTCCTCTGTGGCACAGGGGCCTGATGTCACAGCGCTGACACGTGGTGAGTGTGAGCTGAGCCAGCGCTCGCTGCAGTGATGTGGATGAGCCCAGCCGTCCCGATGGCTCACTGACTCTGGTGTCGGGCCACTTGTCATGCTCACGGGGGGCTCCTTGAAGCCCCTCTTTCTGTGCCTGAGGTGAGGGGGAAGTACCCTCCTCTCTATCTTTGGGAGGGGTGACGAGACTTGGCACCTCTATCTTCCGATTTTCAATCCCCCTCTGGCCATTCCAGTTTAGCCCCTGAGAAAATGAGGTGACCCAGGCAGCAAATTTGCTACTTGGTGTGCAGGGCCTGTGTGAGCCGCCGTGGTTGTCCCGTGGGATGAGGGGACTCATCACGACCCTGTCCTGGCCTCAGCCCAAACCGACAACCGCCTGCCCATGTTCCTTGTTCTCCAAACTCGAGAGCCGATCTTTGACGAATCCCATGCTGTCTGAAACCCAGCCACTCACTGCCCCAGACTCGGGAACCGAGTAGAGGGTAGAGTGGCATCCTCACCGTCTGCGCTGCCCGTCTAGACTCATCCACCCTCTGCCTCCTCCGCAGACGAGGAGCGGGGTGGGCGGGTGGGGAGGAAAGGGGGGGCTCCTGCCTTTGCTGTAGTTTGCTGCCCTGCTCACACAGCTGGCCATGAGGACGCACTGAGGTCACGTGTCTGGCTTGTGCCAGGCACGATTCTTTCTAGAGAAAAACGACACGGCGCCATCCTTTACTTTTCAGCAACAATGCAAGGAAACAGCTGTCAGTCCACCAGGAGACCGTTCGGTCTGTTTCATGGAGTCGCCCTGGAGACCGAGATCCTGCATGGCCAGATGAAGCCCCACATTCCCCCTGCCTGCCTGCCTGGAGCTGAGGGAGGGTGTCCGACCCACAGGCCAACTGCCTGCGGCCCCCCCACCCCCCGACACGGTGGTCCCAGGCACAAAGCGTCTATGATCCCAGAACGTCCACGCGTGCGCCCTCCTTCCCGCACTGCTAGCTGCTCAAACCCTTCCTCCACCTCCAACACATTGCTCTCGTAGGGTTCATTAAAAGGACAAGTATCTTTCCAAAATTCAGACGAAATTTGTAATGAATTTGAAGCGAGGAAAAAAAACACTCATTTAAGCAATGTGATTTTCCCAAGATCCCAGCCCAAGCATTCAGAAAAGTGCAAAAACATGCATTATTGAAAAGCTTTTCAATCGAGCAACTTTCAGATTAATTTATGGTGCTGCACAGACAGGGCTGGTGCTCGTGCTGCTCGCCAGTGACCCTGGGAGCCAGCGGCTGGCTCTGCTGCCCACTGGGTGGGGCCGGGAGGGAGCGTGGGGAGCGCGTGCTGAGAGTGCACTGTTCCTTGGTCTCCCAGGTCAGCCGCTGACTTGGAAAGCCACAAGCAACTAGAGCAGAGTGTTTCGGTGATAAGTGGAGGGTGAGAGGGAGGCCACCTTCATATTTCACTCGTGTCACTGTACAAAGAGGGGTGACTAGGAGCCTTCACTCCATCTAAAAGAAAAGACTGAGCTGACTTCCATGGTCATGGGACCTGTCCTCTGCCCTTCTCCCTGGGGAGGGGTCGCCTGTGCTGCAGAGGACAGGACAGCCCCGCCAGGAGCCAGCTGAGCTGAGTATGGGAAGCCACCAGTCCCGGGATCCCTGACATCTCCCCGAGCCAGCTGTAGACGATGGCAAACACATCTTCCCATGGACGGCTGTGCCTGCTGCAGAGGAAGATGTGACTGAGGAGACCCTGGCCCCCGAACTTGCAATGCAACCTGCTTCTCCAGGGAACATGCCCCAGACTCATCCTTTAATGGGGTGACTGGGTTCGGGCCAGGACTCGGACTGCCTGGTACCCAAAGACCCTGGCAAAACAGAGACCAGAAAATTAGAATTTAAAGTCTCAATCATTGCCAGCCCACCAGCTCCAGTTCTAAAAATTAAACCCAGACTGTTGTTGCTGACATGTTTGAGCTACTGTTTTCTGAGTTGTAGGGAGATTTCTTTAATGCCCATTGATTTCCGGGTAGTAAGTTGTACCTCCGTGTCTCCCTTCGATGGCCTATTTAACATTCACCGAACCATAAATGCACTCCCAGGGCCCTGGGAGCTCGGCCGAGAGTTCCCGAGACCACGGAAAACCATCGATCCTGCGTGCGCAGGTCACTGCGTGCCAGGCCTTCAGAGTGGGCTGCCGCACTCTGTGGCTTCCTTAATGCCTGCGAGTTTACATTTTATTGCATATCTATTGTTTGGGTTGGGCTGTGATGGATGGTTCGGCTGCCTGGTTCAAAACAAGTCCAAGGCGGCAGCAGAATCTAATTTGCTTTAAAAATGATGACTATCGTGCTTTTCAAGTAATAACCCAGGAATGAAGGGAACAGCCACTGCAGGGCTCTGCGAGAGACGTGTGTGTGGCCGAGGGGCAGGCGGTGCCTGCCGCCCTCTCCGGGGCGCTCGAGCTCAGGAGAGGGCCTCACTGGGGAGCCGGGAGGCCTCTCCCCTCAGGGCCAGTGGGGCTGCTTCCATCCCCTTGATGGTAATGCCCTCCGCTCCCTGTTGGGCCCCAGGCTGATTCCCAGGAGCAGAGCTCGCAGAGCTGAGGCTGTTGTGGTCCTGGCACCAGGACGGTGCATGGACAGCGCCATCCTCGTCTTCCTGTGGCCACTGTGGGCCATCTGTGCGCTGACGCCTGGTGCCACCCCCAAGTCTTCAAGTCCAGCCTTGGCCCCGGCTCTTAAAAGGCACCGACCTTTTCCTTCATGGCTCCTTTTACTGAGGGGCCTGCTGGGGGTGTCCCAGAAGTGCCCCCAGAACACTTGAGGCTGCCTTCCTGTTGCGGTGGGCTCATCTCCCCATCACCTGCCCTGACCCCCCACTCTCTTCTTGTCCAGATTCGCCAGGGATTCAAGCCATCGGGAGGTCTGGCTTTGGGGAAGGTAGACAGAGAGGACATTGCAGGAGGTGGACAAGGGACAGGGGTGATTTGCAAGTCAACGCTTAACCACTGGCTCTCCAGAGGATAAAGACCCCTCCCCCACCTCCTTTCCGTACAGTTTGTGTGGAGTAAATTGCTGTGGCATAAATACTCCCACTACGGATGATTACAATTAAAAGCTACCAACTGTTTGTTTGCCTTGAAAATTCCTGAAAATCTAACAATAGGCTCTCAAGAACTAGGTCTGGGGAGCTGCTGATACTTCCATATGTTTTAAAATTTAGAGATTTATTTCAGAGAATAAGCTCCTTGATCCACAAAGCAAACTCCTCCCACAGCAGGCTAAGCTTATCAGTCATTCACACCTTATTCCGAATTACTATAGGCCGACATGAGTGTTAACAGTACGCAGGGAGGAGGCTGGTGGGGAACCATAGCCCATACCTAGTCACGCAGAGCACACACAGCCCTGTCCTTGGTGGTTGGGCTTCTGTCCTTGGCGACAGGAATGCCGTGAACTGGTGTGAACTGGGAAGGCACCCCTGTGTCAACTCACAGACTTTTCCCACAGGGAAGAATCACAGTTGTTTCTTTCCTCTTATGGCATACAAGTACCTCCTCCATCTGCCGCAAGAGCCCTTCTTGCCAAGGACTCCTTCTCAGGCCTTGAGAGTGTTTGGATTAACAGCCGCACAAGGAGATGCCAACAGGGAGCACCAGCACCTTTCTGAAAAGTGGGACTCCACGCAGAGGCTTACGGGGGGAGGAGGAGAAAGCCAGGATCCATGGCTGGGAGGCTTAGTGCACTCTGGGAGTCTCACACCTACTTCTCAAAATCCAGAGCCTAAACGTCAAGTTCAAGGATGCGTCACACAGGGTGCGCACACTACCTGCTTTAGCAGAGCCTGAATACTGTCCGATACAAAGAGCCTTCATCTCTTTGGGGCCCAGAGCAACCCCAGCAGCGCCCCACCCCCTTTGCTGCTGAGTTCTGTGAGCTTCCTGCTGAAGCGCGTGCTCTGCGGGGCCCAGCCTCTAGCACTTCCTGCAGAACCTGCCTCCTGGGGGCCGGCCCCCACCTCTGCTCCCTCTCCGTGCAGGCACAGATGCCTCGGGGTGCCCAGCAGCACACCCCAGACACACTGAAGTCACAGTCCTGTGCTCCTCAGGTGACAGCTAGAAGGTCCTTCGTCCGAAAGGAGCAGACCGAGTGCTCCCTCTCCAACCGCTCTCCTCTGCCCTTTCAAGGGCAGGGTCATCGCAAAACAAACCCAGCTGCCTTTGTCTGTAACAGAAACCAGCCCTGGAGACAGCTGAGGACAGACTGCAGGCCCTGACACATCAGGGTGCAGGCGTGCCTGCGGACACCGCCCATTTGCCCACCCCGCCCGGCCGGGCCTGACTTACGGAAGGCCGTGAGCAGCTCCCGGAGGGTCAGCCAGCCATCACGGTTGTAGTCATCAAATTGAAGGAGGTCGCTTGGCGAGCATCCCAGGAAGTCCTCTTCCAGATCCTGCTCCTTTGGCGCGTGCTGCGGGGGAGTGAGGGAACAAGGCTGGAGTCAACGTGAGCCCAGAGCTGCGGGCTTTGCTGGGATGGGGCCCAGGCTGCGTTGGGGCGAGAACTCCAGGGACAGCGCAGGGCGCCATGGGGAGCCTCCGAAGCGCTTGGTTTTGTCTTGTCCTACTGTCCCCTTTTACAGATGAGAAAACTGAGGCTCAGAATGGGGAGGGGGCATGTTCCTAAGGTCACACAGTGGTTGGGACAGAGTTGGGATTAGTGTTTAGGTGTGTCTTCTCCCCATCTGGGCAGACAGACCCCAGACAGTCTGAGGTCAGATGGATCCTTGAGGCCACCTGATCTACCCCTTCATGTCATTCGTGGGGGACAGAAGGGAAGGGGCTGATCAAATGAACTCAGCAAATATTACAAAGAGCAGCTGAACCAACTGAGGGATCCTGGCCCCCAGCCGTGCACAGCTGGCAGGCTCCGGCTGCATTAATGCTGCCCCCAACCCCTGCTGCCACAGGCCATTGCCACGCTCAGGGCCACACCTCCGAGCCACAGCACACCCCCCGGAAAAGGGGATGCTGCCACTCACTGACCTAGGCCCATGCCCCTGCCTCTGCCTGTCCAGTCGGGGACACAAGCCTCAGTCCTGGGGACTCTGGCATGGGGCCTGCGTGAGCCCTCACAAACTCTCTGGAAGCACTCTGGGACGCAGGGCACAGAGGTGTCCCCAGCATGGCCAGCCACACGCCCAAAGGTGCCTAAAGGTAGAAATTCCGGGCACGCTTGCTCAGCTGGAGCCAGAGGCCGAGTATCTCACAGGACAAATGCTCAGAAGGAAATTTCAGAAGGAGGAAAGGATTTTAGTTTGCAGGGGGAAAGGGGGACAGAGGCATTTTCTCTTTATTTAACAGCCTCAGCTTGGTCTGCTATATTAAAGGCAATTTAATGTGATAATGCTAAAAAAATGACCTCTCACCCAGCGAGTAAGAATGGTCGATAAAAGGGAGATCCACCCCAACACCCGAAATCAATCCTTCAGAGATGGCAACTCCCCTCTGTCTGTTTCTGCATTGGAAATTGATTAACTTTTCACAGGACCGGCGAGTTTTTCCGAGACGCCTGTAATTCGGTGTCCAGGCAAGGCCCCCTTAGGTGGCCTCTGCATGGCAGATTTATGAAATGGACTTTAAATTAAATACATTAAATTTTAAAGAGGAAACTATAGTCCAACGATTATGCTTATTAATGGCTTCAGGTGCCTCTGGGCACATCTCTGCCAGGTTAGAGCCACAAGACCAGGAGTTGCTGTTTACTTGGCAGCCGCCTGGGGGCCACATGGGCTGGGGGCCGAGAGCCCACAGTGCCCTGTCCAGGGTGGGCCTCGCTGCCGCTGCCCTGGGCGCTCCCGGCACAGCCTGGGAAGCACCAGACTCCCGCAGGACCTGGGCTTTCCCCAGAGCAGCCTGAGACATCTGTGGGTCGCTAGCCCTGCCCCTTGGGGTCTCAGCCACAGCCAGGGGCCTCGTGCTGCGGGAGCTGCTGATGTGCTGGCTGGCCTGGCTGAGACGCCGTGTGCCTGGGAGGCGGCGGGCAGCAGGCCTCCTGGGAGGCGGGCCCTGCGTGGACTTGCACATGTCCCCCAGGTGTGAGCGAGCAGGGTGGGGTCCGAAAGTGCCTTTGGATCTGTGGTTCCCAGCGTGCACCCTGGAAGCAGGCTGCGGACTGGTCAGAGTAGAGGGCCGTGAGGGGGGCTCTCCATGGCAGGGCTTCTGGGCTTTTGAGTGTTCCATATTCAGGTTTTGTGGGCACCTGCTGCCCCCCTAGACCTTGAGAGGGCCAGGCAGAACTTCCTGTGGGGAGCCATCCTCACCTAGGTGACCTCACACTGTGAGGAAAGCAGGTGCATGCAAAGCAGCCACCTGGGGTGCAGCTCAGTCCCATGATGTCCTGGGTGGTGAGCACCCTCTGGCCAGCTGCGTGAGGAGCCCTGGTGTTTCTCATGTAGAAACACCTGTGAAGTGGGGGTCACAGCTGTGCTGACCTCCCAGCAGAGAGTGGCTGGGAGGTGTAGGAGGAAGAACTGGCAATTGAGAGGCAGGCGATGGCATCGATGCTGACCACTGTCACCTACTGGGAGTGTGCCCCATGCACAGTGCCGTGCTCAGGACTCACAGGTCTCAGTTGTTTGATGCAGCAGGTGACCCTGTGATGGTCACAGACAAGAAACGCAGGCGCAGAGGGGTGAGGCGTCTCCTCAGACCCGCCAGCTGGGCACTGCTGCAGGCGGTGCTCCGAAGTGGCAGTCTGGCCTTCCCGTGAGGCCTGCATCCTCGGCTGCTACGGCGCACGGTCAGGAACGCCTCTGCATTCGCACCTCACAGGGAAAGGGCCTGGCGCTCAGCCCGGGGTGGGGCTTGCCCCGGCCCCGTCCTTCCTGGTGACCTGGCCCCGATTTGATGAGGTCACTGCCTCATGTTCAGGGTTTCTTTATAGTGGCCTCCAGGGCAGGACTCATTCTTATTGTCTGCCCTCTGGGTGGGTACTCGGTGGTCCCTACAGAAGAGCTTCCCTTGCCCACCACCCTGCATGGGGAGGCCAGCCCTGCCTCCCTTGTGTATGTTGGCACCTGCCGGAGGGGAGCCAGCGGAGCAGGAGCAGGAGCAGGAAGGCAGGCCTTTCTGCAGGCCCAGCCCCCCTTTCTTGCTGCTGGCCCCCAGAGGTCCTCCCACATCTGGCAATGGCTGTGCCCCGGTTGCTCTTTCCTCACTTCTCTCTGCCACAGACACTAACTGTCCTTGCACTTCCTTGCAGCTGGACAGACGGACATGTGCACTGGCTTTGGGGAGGGAGGGAAAGCACAGGCCCAATCCACGTGTGTTTGCAAAGGAAGAGCAGTGCTCAGGGGCGGATACAGGGCTTCCTGCAAGCACGCAGGCTGGGCTTTGGCTGTGGGTATCTGGGTACTAAGGAGCGGGGAGACGCTCGGGGGCAGGGCTTGGGGGGCCCAGGTTGCAGCTGCAGTGGTGTTTGGTGAAACTGCCCCTGCTTTCTTTCAACCTTCTGCCGAGGACAGTAAAAAGCCCGAGGAAGAAAGGACATTTCCTAATGACATCAGAGACCAGCCCCTCTGAAGCGTGCGTTTTGCCAGCTGGCCATGTGTGCTTCCATGCTTGTTTGTGAACATGGGCTGGTGGGAAGGGGGCACTGCCACCGTCTTGTGTGAGAGTGTCGGGGCCTCGGCCAGGAGCTCCCCGGCTCCCGGGAGCCGGGTCTCTCCTGCAGGAGGGAGGCTCCGGGCACAGAGAGAGCCCCGTCGGTCTCCCGGTTTTCTTCATTCATATGCCAAGGGGAAAACGGATGCCTCCTTAGTCTTATTTTCGTGGGACACCGTGCTCACCTGAGCCAGTTCAGAGCTGCTGAGGCGGCCGTCACCATCTGCATCCCAGTCCTTAAACAGAGACTCCACCAGGAGGCGCTTCTGGGAGGCAGGGTCCCCTCTGCTGCTTTCTTCTTGGAGCGGCCGCAGGCGGGTCTGGAGGGCCAGGAGGACGTTCTTCAGGCGGGCATAGTCGGCCATGGTGCACGGGTCGCCTGGGGGAGAGAAGAAGCAGTTACTGCAGGGAGATCCCCCTCGCCTGGAGTGGTGTGAGGTCGGCTATCCATTCTGTTGGTAAAGAGTTTCTGGGCATTTACTGGGTACAGTGCGGGGGCCACCTGAGTAGATGGGGTCTGTTTGTCCATCTGCCCACCAATGCATCCGAAAATACTCACCGAGCACCAAACACATGCTACACTAGATGCAAACACAGGCTGGTGCCTGCTTGTCTGCCCCATGGAGATCCATTGAGCACCTACTATGTGCCAGGCATAGAGCCATTGCCGGACGGAACGGGCGAGTCTGCTCAGGGGAATCCTCGGTGGGAGCCCCACGGCGACGCCAGGAAAGCCGGCCCCAATTCCGTTTTGTAATGCTCGTCTTTGCCTTAATCCCACCTTTAAAGGCTGCTTTTGAACACTTGGCCTCATGGATTCGGGAATGTTAGTTAACAAGACCACTAAGCCCTGCTCAGGTTAATTAGCGGCGCTCCCAGAGCCGGGATGAGTCAGAGAGAACGTGTAGGAGAGTCTGCCACCAGGAAATAGGAGGAGGCCTTACACAACTAACCCGGAGCTCGCAGCCGTCACTCGCAGGCCTGCATCACAGCCACGAGCACTGCACAGCGTCGGGGCCACACGGCATTTTGGCAAATGGGGCCTGGGATGCTCTGCGACGTGACACAGGTGACCTTCCTGGGGGCGGGCTACCAGGAGAAACTCCCTGCGAGTCATAGCCTGCAGACTGAGGCTGCAGGGCTGCTGGCAGAACAGGTGAGGCCCTCTGGCCCCCCTTCCTCTCCTCCCTGGGGCAGAGGGCTTCCCGCTGAGTCCTGGTGGGGTCCTCACCGTCCACTCCAGCAGGAGGCCAACGTGCTGCAGCGGGCAGACTGGCTGGGGCCCAGAGCTCTTGCCCTTAATTCCAAGGCAAGTTTAGGGCACCAGGTAAGGGCTCGGGTTGGGGGAGTCACCGTAGAGCAGGGCTGGACAGCACCAGCTCCAGTTGCCTGGGTCTGAGTCCCGGCTCTGCCGCCGCCTGGACGCGCACAGTGTCCCAGGTGCCTCCGAGGCCTCACCTGGGAAGTGGGGCACACACGGCCCCCACACGGAGGGTTAACTAGGACACACACATCGAGGGCTCCCCACAGGCTTGGCACAGAGTGAGCTCTCTAACACGATAGCTGTTCTCTCCCCACCGTCGTGGGGACCACATTTACGGAAGAGCGGCAAACAGGCAGGGAAGCTGTGTGTGAGGGGGGGAGGGGCTGGTGGGCAGTCCGTCCGTCTGTCTCTCCCTAGACAGACCTGGAGGGCCCAGCCACTCTCTCCTGCGCTTGTTTGTGTTTCTAGATTTTCTTCCAATTTGGGGTCAATTGATTCTTGTCAGAAACAGATGCCTGTTACCATTTCATCCTGTGTGTTTATTTAGAAGAAAAATCAATTGCTGTGTTCAATATAATCAAATCTATTTGTTCTCTGGGAGCTCCATGCTCTGACAGGATGGCTCCCTCTACACTGCCACCATGCCGGCACCGCTCTGGCCTGGGAGAGTGTCCGTGCCAGGGGCCGCGTGGGGCCGCCGGCCGGCAAACCAATTCTCATGTGTGTGAAGCTGCACAGTGTGGAGAAGAGAGGCTGTGTCCTGCTACAAAACCACTCCACCCAGGGGAAGACGGGCAGCCTGATGGTTCTCCTCCCCCCCAGGCCTGGAGGAAGGTCAGTTTGGCAAAGGGGAAGAACAGTTTTGTCGAGACCTTGCCCCCTCGCCCCCCATGGGGTGACATCCAGTTCTGGCAAACGAACGAGAAGTCGGGAGGCCGTGCCGGAGCCGAGGCAGAGCACGGGCGCAGCTGCTGAGGGGGCTGTGGGGAGGGCCTGCAGGCTCTCCTGGGAGCTGGTGTGCACAGCAGATGGCTGTCGGGTCGACAGCAGGCCTGGCTCAGAAACGCTAGGGGACAATCAGACTCCTGAGAACACTCCACAGCAGGGCCACCTGAAGGATGGAGCAGGAGAGGGCAGGTGGGCAGAGACACCCCATTCTTGGTGGTCCCCCACAGCCTGCTAACCTCCCTCACGGCCCTTGGTGGAGCACAGTGCCCCTTGGAGCTGCCCTGCTGCCCCGGGCCAGGCGTCTACAGCTAGGCAGCCTTTCCCACACCGGCAGCCGAAGGGAACCACCTCGGTGGGTCCTGCCAGGTGGGCTACAGCACACTCTACCCCCAGGCCCTGTCCCTCCTGTTATATTCCTACGGTTCACTCTGAGTTCACAGGCTGCCAGCGTCTGCACCCTGGAAACTGCCTGGCACAGGCCTCCTGGCCAGGGAGGTACACACAGGTCTAGACATGAATCTATAAGGGGAAAGGGTGGGTGACCCCAGGCTCCGGAGTCGGGCTTCCTGAGCCCTTGGCCTTGCCCCCTGCTGGAGCCCACACCCCCTGCTCCTCCCTTTGGACATTCACACAAACTCTGGGCCAGATGGTGCTGGGCGGCCTGCTGGGGGGACAATGGAGCTTCCGGTCCCAAGCACCCAGGGGCCCGTGGAGGGGAGCGAGCGAGGGAGGGGTGTTCAGGATGAGACCGCAGGAGGAGGGGTGTGGGGGAGAAGGAGGTGCAGGGACAGTGGGCCAGGCAGCCAGGGTCGCAGGTGCCAGTCCTGCTTCCAGTTCTCACCCTAGAATGGGGCAGAAATTGCCCCTTCCCACTGAACAGGTCATGGCATTGAAGCGGTGGTTTCCAGCCTTTGTCCTCTCACGGCACAAACAGACCAACTACTAAAATCCTGAGGTGTGATTTCAGTTCATTCACACTGGACAGCTATGGTCATATTGGCTGTCATCATTGTTTGATTTGACAGTCTCAAGGAACAGAGGTGAGGTCCCTGACTGAATGAATAGTCAGGTGTTGCATGTTTTAAAAATTCTTGTGGCACGCCAGTTGAAAATCACTGCATTAAAGGAAATGGCGGAGGACTTTGCCAAGTCCAAGCGGTCAGCCAGGCCTGAGGGCTTCTCTTGCTGAAGAGAGCCCCAAGGAACTAGAGTGTGACTTACTCATCTTTGTCCCCTTCACGAGTGACCTATACCTGGCACAGGTGTCCGCTATGTCAGTGTTTGCAGAAAACAGACGATTTCCTCCCTCTGTCCCACCACTCATGGACGTTCCTCCATGGGGCCTCTCATGGAGGGAGGCTCCTGTCCCAGCCACCTGACCTGTATGTGCACCCCATAGGCCCTCGCTAGGGCCCAGCCACCTTCCTGCTGGCCCAGGCGCCGGCCGGGCCAGCCCCGGGCACCGCCCTGCCAGCACGTGTGTGCGGGGCTCTTCCTGCCGCCAGACCAGGCCTGCTTTGGCAGATAAAATATTGATCAGCCTGCTGCGGAGCCCAGAGTGGGATCCTATTTTCATGTCAGAACTTGGTAATGAACTACATTCATCAAGCCCGTTCTCCATGAGAAAGGTCAGCCACAGATCTGGCTAAGTTGTTATGACACCTCATTAATCTAGTTCCCTCAATAATTGTCCCTCTTTGAAGATTCTAACGTTCTCCCAGTCCCAGCCACACTCCCTCCAGGCGGAGGGAGATTATTATAGCAGCAGCACAGGCACATCCGCATTTAATTTTTTGAGTAAAGAGAGATAGGAAGCAGGTAGCAGCCTCTGGAATTAAATGTCCATCAAAGTAACACTTTCTATCGAAAAACAAAGGGAAGCAAGGAAGATATTGTGAATGTTCCGTCAGCCACGCGTGCCCCTGCCAGACGTCCCCTCAAAGGGACCGTCTTCACTCTGTAGCAGGCGAAGCTTCCAGTCCCGGGTTGGGGGAGGGCTGGGGGGCTCCGGGGAGCCAAGGCAGAGGGGTTTGTGCAATGTGGTCGAGGTGGGAGATGCCACCCAGCTGGAGGGAAGCTCAGATCCTGAGAGTGAGACAGGCTATGAGGTAAAGGCTCCTGGCGGCCCAGGTCCTGGACACAGGAAGCAGCTGGAGGCAGGTGCGGGGAGGCTGGAGACACCTCGCACTGGGAAGGGAGGGTGCTGAGGGTGCCTGCAAAGGGGTGGTCTCTGCCTGCCTCTCCTTCTTTCTTGTTCCTGTATCGTCCTTTGCCCCGCCCCCTCCAACATGCCAACCCCCTGCCCAAAGAGCCCCCTCCGTCACTGCCCCTGGTTTCTGTGTCGCTGCACTCAGTCAGCCTTCCCATTCATCACTGCTGGTCGTCAGGCTGCTCTGTCGGGCCCAGAGCACCCCCTCCCTGTGTCCCAGCCGAGGCCGGGGCTTTGTTTTGCTGCAGTGGTGTCCCCAGCAGCTGGCCGAGCACCTGCATGCAGAAGGTGCTCATTAAGTGTCTATGGACAGACTATGGAATCCTCAGTGGAGAGAGGCAGCAGGTGGGCTCAGAGAGTGGCTGCAGCCCTGCACTGCGAAGGGTATAATCCCAGCTGCCTGAGCTGCAGTGACCAGGGTCTGGAACTCTTGAGGGGGCCCAGGGCCCACGTTACCCATCATGTCAGCTCCTGGGGGCGACTACGTGGGAGATGTGGGTGCAGTGGGGCAGCTCCGGAGTGTGGTACGCGCAGCCATGCTCACTGATGCCCATGCCGCCATGGGCTGGCCAGGGGGCACGGACCCTCCCTCACCCAGTGGGGGCACCCCCAACCTGCAACAGTAGCCCTACAGAGGGAGGTCTGCATGGCCCAGCTAGGGGGTGGTGGCAGGGTGGTGAGCCACAGACAGGCTGCTGCGCTGCTGGGCGCTAGGTTGTCGAGAAGTGGCTCCTTCAGCCTCTGCTGCCGGGCACACGCAGAACCTTGGCACTGTCTCTGGCATGGAGGATGATGGATGGGACGTTCCTGACCTCTTGTTCTGCCACTGCTGGGGGGCACAGCCCTGCAGAGATGACAGGCAGGGACTGGAAGCGCAGCCCAGGCAGGGAGGCTTGAGGATGGACTGGACCACAGCCCAGCTTCAGGAAAGGCCCATCTCCTGCCAGCACTCTGATCT